GCAGACCAGTAACCCCTCCTCGGGCACAGACAGCCCCAGGACCTGCCCCTTCCCCGGCTTAGGAGGGATCCTGTACATTGGTGTCCTACAACACCCCACAGCAGCACCTTCCGCAGGTGAACGCCACGGCACTCACACGTCGGACAACCCCATCGATGCCCCCTCGCAGCATCACCCATCCCAGCGGAGCAGGGCCTGTGCAAGACAACGGCGTCGCCCGTTGCTGCCTACATTTAGGACAGACCCCACCTCAGTCTCCTCACTGATTCCCTCTGCCTTATCGCTCTCCTCCAGCCCCTTGGATGATTCAAGGCATCCAAGCTGAAACAGCCCCACGCAGCACCTCTGCCGTGCCCCACATACAGCTGGGCGACCGCAGCACCCCTCCCCAGCCGCTGCTCCTACCTGGGGTCCTGGTGACACACAGCCCCCGACATCCGCTTCTCACCCGAGGAGCCCATGGCCGGCGCGTTGCTGCCTGGCCACTTGATGAACGTTGCCAGTGTCTCCTAGGGAGGACGAAGAGATTGAGGATGCGACAGCGAATGCACCGCTCTGACCCCACACGCAACCTGCCCTGGTGCCGTGCAGGGTGGCGATGGGTTCTCCCTTTTCCCCAGGGATCCCCAGCACTTCCCAGTGCCCATGGTGGTGGTGGCACGCACCGAACAGTCCTGTGGCAGGGTCTGGATGCAGCCCGAGTTATCATTCTGGACACAGCAGCCGGAGCCACGTTCCCGGTCCCGCTCACGCTGGATGAGCTGCTCCACCTGCTGATCCTTCCGGATGCAGGGGGAGAACTTGGCTCCCAGGTGGATCAGGTCGATCTGGGAGGAAGATGCCAGTCCAGCGGATGCTCTGTGGCCCCCCCACACCTCCCCTCCCCTCCAGCTGCCTCTGGGGAGAGCTCAGCAGGGGCAGGGGGTCCCCACAGGCGATAGCCCTGGGTCCCCATTACCCCAGTGGAGGGAAGGCGGGTGGGAAGGGGATGGGGTCTCTTCTGTCCATTCCACTGTGATGCCACAGCTCAGGGAAGCACTGCCAAGCCGCCAGCCTGGGCTGGGACCGGGCAGCAGGTCCCAGAGGGATGGGGGCACAGAGGCCCTGGGGCAGCAGGCTGGGACGAGGGGTTGAGCTCTCCCCCCAGGGAGAGGAGCACCCCAAGGACCCCCCTTGGCTCAGGGCAGGGGGACCAGAGGCCAGTGGAGGGCAGAGGTCTGGCAGAGTCCTTACCGAGCTGGGCCCGATCCAGAAGTTTTCCTGCTGGATGTACTTGACACTCTCATAGACGCCCTTGTTCCTCAGCACCTGCCAAGCCAGGCCAGGGTCAGCTCCCACCGAGGGGGCTGGCAGTGTGGGGGTGCAGCCCCCTCTCCCTCCACTTGTAGAGGGCTGAGCAGCCCCCTTCATCCGAAAGGAAGGGCTGCTGGGTCCCACCAGCAACGTGGGAGGGAGAGCAGCTCTGCTGCCAGCACGCATGCCGCTGCAACATGCCACAGCTTGTCCAAGCACACACAGACCTCCTGCCCTGGCTATTTATTGGAACCTCTCAAAGAGCAGAAGCTGGCAGCACCCCAAGATGCTCCCAGCCCTAGCAGGGAGCACGGGACACTGGTGGTCACGGTCCCCCCAGGAAGACGGATGCCTGCTCTTCTCTCCAGCTTGGGTGCTGGGGGAGCAATGCAGCTGGCTGCAGGTTCCCAGGATTAACCCCAGAGGGAGGATCACCCCTCCGAGGTGTTGAAGGCACCCCCCCAGACACCAGCCTTGCTTTCCTTGGCAGCTAGCTGCTTGCCACTTCAGAGACAGACACGTCACCGGAGAGCCGGGAGGGGATGGCCCTGGCCAGTAGCTCTTAAACTTACTAACTCTCTTGTCACGTGCTGAGCGAAGCCGATGGGGGCAATGCCATAGGTGCCGATGACCAGCAAGGTGATGAGGATGTGGACAAAGGTGATCCAGTATGTGAAATATGGTCTGCGGAAGAAAGGAGCCAAAATTTGAGCAGCTCAAGGGTGGCTGGGCAAAAGGACGCTGCAATCCCCCAGGCCTTGATCCCCAAGCATCAAGGGGAACACACATCTGAGTTACAGCTGGGGAGCCCCGAGGAGCCCTGTGCCCACCCCATCAGTCCCCCCTCACCGGTGGCTGTCGGTGATCTCCAGCTGCGACTCCACGATGCTGCTCAGGCTGCGGCGATACGTCCTGTTCAGCCACTTCCCCACCACCCCCAGACCATAGTAGCGTTTCTTGCGGTCGAAGGCGAAGTGCTTCACTTTGGAAGCAATGCGCCTGCCTCGCCGGGGAGCTGGGCCAGCACCGGCCGAAGCGAGCCGGACATCCTCCCGCCTGCAGAGAGAGGAGAAGCCCAGCTGAAAAATCCCCCATGTTCAACCCCATGGCCACAACCCAGAGCTGAGGAAGGCCAGAGGATGCCTGGGATGAGGGCTCGGGGCACCTCTTGGCTTCATCCTCCTAGGAGCATGCCAGAAGTGCCCAGTGCCCCATGGCAGGGATAGCTGGAGACATTGTCCTGACTGTGGCAGGGGACCTGGGCAGCCTCAGGGGCAGCACCTGCCAAGAGCTGGTACTCACGGGGTGGGCTGCTCCGCCTCGGGGGACGCCTTGGCATCCTCCCCCACCGGGTGCATGCGTAAATATGTGGCCGATAGAGGCGGCGACTCGAAGACATCATCAGGCATGGAGTATGTCTCATCGTGCATGTCCATCTGGAAGGAGGACGGAGACGCATTCTTGGATGCGAGCAACGGGTGAGAAACCTCCCCATGACCGAGTACGCCCGTCACCAGGCCAACCTGGCTCCCCCTGGCCTCTGAGCCTGGGGAGGGGGTGATCCCCATCGACATCCCATTAACTGCATGTCACAGGCTGCGAAATGTGCCCACAGCGGCAGCAGCGTCCCTGCCACCCCCAAGGAGCATCACCAAGGTCAGGGCTCTGCAGTGCCAGGCACAGCGGCCACCGATGCCCCTGCTCCCAGGCAGGGCGAAGCACTGACATGGGGGTCCCTGTCAGAGCCCCGCTCCAAGTCCAGCCCCCACGCAGGGGCACTGGGACCCATCCCCGCTCCGGTGGCCGGTGTGGAACGGTGCTTGCCTTACTGAAGAAGGATGAGTCCAGGGTATCAGCAGCATCCACCATGTCCTCGTCCATGAAGCTGGGGTACATGAAGCTCCTCTTGTTGCTCCTCCACTTGGGAGCCAGTGGCTCCAGGGCAGAGCGTCCCTTTGGCAGGGGAAGCAAATGAGGGTAAGCAACCAGAAGCCCCCCAGTTTTTGCAGCACCAAGGGTTTCTTGTAGCTTCCCTCCCCAAAGGCGAGTGGCAAGGGTTAAATCCCAACCCAAAGGCGAGTGGCAAGGGTTAAATCCCAACTGGCCACCACATCCGCCTGCGTGGGAAGGGCAGGCAGCAGGAGCTGGCAGCAGATGCTGCCTTTAGCTCCTCAGAGCCAGCACCGGACCATGACCATCTTAGTCAGCATGACAGGTGAACTCTGAATCCCATTTGGTCTCAGTCCCACAAACCTGTCCCCAAGGCTTGCCCAGGGCTCCCCAGGGGCTAGAAAGCTGCTGGAGAAGCTCCCCAGCTCCTCAGGAGTGAAACACAGAAGCTGTTTTTTTTCTAGGGATGTCCAGTTTTCACCAAAACTTCTCTTTTTAAGCAGAGCTCAGGTTAAAACCCACCAACCTCCCCCTCTCAAACCCACCCTGGAGAGACAGTGATCTCTGTGCAAAGCAAAAAGCCAAGAAGCAAAGATGATGGGCAAGGGACAGAGCTGAAACCTGGGTCTGGAAGAAGACAACACCCCCCAGGTCCCCAAAACTTACACGAAGAAGGGCTGCAGCTGCCTTGAAGCTCATGTGGGCGACAGATTCCCTCTTCCTGCGTGGCAGGCGGCCATAGCCAGAGCGGATGCTGTTGAAGGATGCCAAGGAGACGACACCGGGGGTGAGCGGGGGCAGGACGTGGTGGGGTGTGTGGGGACGGTCGGGCTCGTCAGGATGGCGGAAGGGACGGCCCCTGGCCAGCGGGTCCACGATCTGGCGGAGGGAAGAGGTGTCAGTGCTGGGAGAGCAAGGCTGGGAGCCAGACCCCATGCCCCGAGCTCTACCTTGGGCATCTTGGCGGGCTTGGGTGACTCGGTGCCTTGGAAGGAAGGCACCTCCTGGCTGGGCAGCTCCATGTCGCGGTAGGCAGGCTTCAGCTTGCCGTATCTCATGCTGCAGTGCTGCAAGCTCTTGCGTTGCCACTGCTGGCGCTTCCCCTCCCAGTCGCTGCTGACGCCAAACCATTGCGCCGTGCCCCTGGACACACGATGGGCATGCTTGTCACCCAGCTGGCTCCCCCACCCTGGGTACCACCATCCCACCCGGGCATCCCCTCCGGCAGGTGATTTGGGTTGGGGTGTCTCTGCTCAGCCTGCAGCAGGGCAAGTTTTGATCTGGCTATGGGTCAGGGAAGGGATGCTGCAGAGGGGGTTGCTGGCCTTTGGGTCTTTCTGGAGAGGTAACTCCATCAAGGCTTGCACGGGACAGTGCATCAGCTCTAGGCTGCAGCAGACATCCAGCTCAAGGTGCTTTTGAAGGTCCTACATAAAGGGGACAGAGAAATTTTCCCAAGGTGCAAAACAACGGTTTGAATTAATACTAAACAATCCTGCCGCGGGATTATCCCCAGGCAGACACCAGCGAGTCAAAGCAGAGCTGCCTGAAACCCTCCAAGGTGTTACCTAGCAAGCCCC